GCTACAGCTCGCGGTATACAGAGACCCCCGAGCCGTGACGGATCCCGACATTACTGTCGATCTACCCAGCTGCGTGAGTGACAGCGGGCTCTGCCTATCTAGAGACAGGGCCAGCTATACCCGCCCCCTCCACCGTCCATTTCACCAGTCAGCGTTTGAGGATCAGAGCGGGGAGGGGGGAATCCCTGCAGGGAGCCGTGAGTGAGTCACAGCGCTCTGCAGGGATATGATCTAGAAGTGAGCAAGCGACGGTATGTGTTCGCTCACTTCCCGATCTATTGAGCCGATGTGTGACAGCTTCATTCTCACACGTCGGCTCGAACTATGAGGCTGAGTGATTTTCACTCACCTCATAGTTCTCCTTTAATATCTTATATGGAGTGTTTTTATGTATCTGATTGTGTTATCGACATTGCTGTGTTTTCCTGTAGAGGTGACTGCTTGGCTCATTCTATATCTATTCTTGTTATCTCTTAGCATACTGCAAAAGGTTCGTTTAGATCTTTTGTTGCCGATTATTGTCTTCGTGGAGACTTGTAGTTAAAAATATAGTATTGTTGACTTTAGCTGTAAGCTGTTTTATAATTATGAGGGACAAAACCGTTTTTCTTGTAGTATTAAACTCTCAAACTTTTTCCAATATTGAATCCAGATCAAAGAAATATGAATTGCCCAGCAAAGCATTGCGGTACTTTTTTGCCCAATCATCATGTTTCTAAACAGCTGCTTCCAAGTCTCTCGGCTCAGCTTCCCTGAACTTCCTGTGCAGTACAAGCTCACAAGAGACAGAGCTGTCTCGGGCAGCTGTACATCTACTAGCTTAGAGAAGGGAGGAGAGGGGCCAGGGGGGACAGAACTAAAACTTTTAAACAAGAAGCGGCATTCATTGTAAGTGATTTAATCAGCATTTGCAATACATTAAAAATCCTTTTGCTTTTAAAATCACGTAGGGTTTTCCTTTTTTGTGTGACCTGGAAAGTGTTACTGCCCGATAAAATTCATATTCACTTTTTTTGGCAGATTGACAGGCCAAAAAAATACCTGCCTTCATTTCTTTTCTTCAACCTACCATAAGAAAGCACATGTTTCTTAGGCATTAGTTGCAGTGCGCTAAAACGCTAAAATGTGTTTCTTTTTGTTGTGTAAGCTTCATTGGGGTGCCATTGAAAAGTAAAACAACACACACACCATGATGTACCTAGACATTGTGTTGTTGTCTTGCACATAAGCAGGCATTATCATGTGTGTTAAAGGAGAATTATGAGGCCAGTGATTTTCACTCAGCCTCATAATCTGAGCCGACCTGTGACGATGAAACTGTCACAGGTCGGCTCAGTAGATCGGGAAGTGAGCGAACACATACCGCCGCTCGCTCACTTCTCGATCCTGTCACTGCAGAGAGCCGTGACTGTCACTCACCGCTGGGATTCTCCCCCCTCCCCTGTCCAATCCTCCAGCGCTGACTGGCGGAACGGATGGGGGAGGGGGCGGGTACAACTGGCTCTGCCTCTATATATGCAGAGCCAGCTGTCACGCAGCTGAGTGGATCCAGACAGAATTGTCAGGATCCGTTCCGGCTGCGGCGTCTCAGTATACCGCATATACTGAGCTTAGGGTGACGGGAGGACGCTAGTTTGTGTCCTTCCGTTACCCTTAGGAGAACTATGGGAAAAAGCACTGACCCCATAGTTCTCCTTTAATGTGAGGCATGACGTCTCAGATTGTGGATGCACCATTAGAGGTCTTGTTTTTATGCTGTTTCTGTAAACTGTACTTCTGTCATGTGACCTAAAGCAACACTAGATTTCACTTGCAAAAGGTAAACATTTCAATCTTTCAGAATGTCTCTAAGCAGGACTGCTGCCTTTAGTCATTCAAACAGAAACAACTGACGCAAGCTGAGATCTTTATCTCTTGTAATGGTAAAATTGCTGTTCTACCTGCTAGAATCCAAGTGCATGCTGCGGTCAGGGTCCCCTCCGATCCCCGCTGCTCTCCCCCGCTGCTCTCCCCCGCTTGCAGGGAAGGGAGGGGACACAAACACTGCAGACAGCACCCAGCGGGGAGGGGAGACCACTGTCAGTCGCTGTGACTCTACCCCGCCCCCTCTTCAGTTCAACTGCCGGTGGTAGAAAGCCGGCAACAAGTCTCCCATCCAGCGGCCGGGAGCAATAGCCAGCCTGCTGTTAGCTATTTTAAATTGGAGTAGCCAATAGCAGGCTGGCTATTGCTCCCGGCCGCTGCCTCAGCAGGCAGTTGTCATTCCCCAGCTACAGCTATTGAAGTGGAAAGGTGACACTAGGGGTCTAATAGAACCCTAATGTCACCTTAAAGATAGCCTGTCATCTCCAATGTGCTATCACATAGGGGGCTTGTGAGCCCCCCCATGTGATTTGCAATGAAGTAAAAAAAACAAAGCATAACTACGTGTTGTGTCGAGCATCTGTAAAAATAGATGAAGAAAATAAAACTTTGTTAGAGAAAAAAAAACCTGTCTGCTAACTTTTTTTTTTTTTTAGCTTGCGCCTAGATTCAAAGCAAATTTGTCAAGCCCTGACCTAGATGGTCAGAAAATAGTGGTGAGGAAGATGTGCTATTTTCTTTCTCCTATGCTTGCACTTTTTTGGGGGGGAACTCATCAGATCTTTTATTGTCCCTTTAGGGACACAGGAATTCTAAAATAGACCGGTTATATGCTGTTGCTTACAGGAGGTTTCAACATTACAAGCTAGCCCCCATTAAATCCTCCTGTAACTGTAAACCGCGCCTCAGTTTTTTTTTTTTGCTAGTGTCCTAGAAGGTTGAACACTTTTTTCAGCTCTGCTGTAAGGGCTAGTTCACACCAAGTGCAGAGCAGGTGCAGACCGAATCAAAACTGCGCCCAATGTGTTCCTATGGTATTTTTAGCTCCAGTTCACATCGCAGCGTGCAGGTCCAGAGCAGGTTAAACTGCAGCAGGCCCTATTTTACCTGCTCTGGATCTGCAAACGCATGCAAATGCCTGGAACGCACGGAAAGCCCATGTTAAACTAAGAAAAATGTTTTTTTTTTTAAAGTCAAAAACGCATCTAAAAAACTAGCGTGCGTGTGCAGAAACTTAACCGGATCTGCCCTGCATTTGGTGTGAACAAGGCCTAAGGGCTTGTTCACACCAAGAGCAGAGCAGGTGCAGACCGGATCAAAACTGCGTCCAATGTATTCCAATGGTATTTTTTGCTCCAGTTCACATCGCAGCGTGCAGGTCCAGAGCAGGTTAAACTGCAGCAGGCCCTATTTTACCTGCTCTGGATCTGCTCTGGAACGCATCAAAAACGCATGCCAATGCCTGGAACACACTGAAAGCCCATTTTAAACTTCTAAAAAAAAAAAAACGCGTCTAAAAGACTAGTGTGCGTGTGCAGAAACCTGACCGGAACTGATCTGCATTTGGTGTGAACAAGGCCTTAGGCCTGCAGGAAGCTTTGAGAATTTTCACTGTGACAGGGCGAGTGACCTAGTCGGTTAATGTTGAGGCTCTCACTCTTAACTGCCTTCTGGGTCTCTCCATCCTGCAGTGTCCATTCTGAGAATAAAGATTTGTGCGCTTGTACCAGTATGGTTGTCTTTCCACTCCTGTCTGTTTTTAAATGGGGGTATGTCTTGCACCCCCCCCCCATTATTTTGTGTTCTTATTCATGCAGCATAACTAAAAAAAAAAAAGGTAAAAAAATATTTTTTCAATGTTTCTTTTGGAGCAGGGATTTGGGTAGACTTTAACCCTTTGTTAGGACAGACCTTGTCTAAAACCACTGTTTACTACTGATGAGCTGTGCTAGACAGCATTAACACGACGCTTGGAGGCAGGAGCAGGCTGCACCCCAGTACATGTATTTTGCAATAAAACATTTTTTTTTTAGGATATAGCTAATACTATAAATCACTGCGATCACAGGTGGCCAGAGATGATGTTTTGAAGGGTATGTAAACCCTAAAGCTGGCCATACACCTTACAATTTATCTGCAGATTTTCTGTGGTCAGATGGAAAGGTGCAACAGATTCCTCCATCTACACTACACTGTGTGGCTGGAGGAATCTCCACCTGGGCCAATCTTTACACTTTTTCCATCTGACCACAGAAAGTCTGCAGATAATTGTAAGGTGTATGGGCACACTGAACTTTCTGTTTGGTGAACTTTAGCTTTAATTGCATTATTCTTCTAAATTGATGAATTGTAGAGTGTTTTTTTTAAAGCATAGGCTATGCAAAATGTTGTAATTGTGTATTTGGTATCTCTTTACTTGGCAAAGTCTCATTCTTAATATTTTACAAAAAGAAAAGGAATTATTTTGTGTTTGCTCTAAAATTTATTTGAATGTATTTTTACTAAAAATATAGGTTTGATAAACGGTTGCGCACCTACTATGCAACATATAAATTTGCAACTAACTTTTAGGCTCCATTCACACATCTAGTTAAACTTTAGGTGCAATTAGGGATTCCCGTGTCAGAAAAATGCGATTTCCTGCAGCAGGAATACAAAATCTGCCATTTACAAGTGTCAGCTGCTATACATTAAAGTTAATAATCAGGTGACAACTGCTGCATTCGAACGCTGGCACACCGCATGTAATCATATGTGATGTGATTACATGCGGTTTGGAATCCATCACTATCCCTGGACACATCGATAGTGCGTTCTGCTGCTTTCAAATGCAGCTGCTGCCCCCCCTATCATTAACTTGAACAGGTGACAGCTACTGCTTTGTAAATGGCAGATTTGGTATTCCTGCTGCAGGAAATTGTAAGTTCCTAATATGGGAATTTTAAAAAAGCACCTAAATTATAGGTGTGAATGGAGCCTAATTCTGCAGATTCTCTGCTTTCATACGCATTTAAACATGTGTAAGTAAAACATTTGGCCAGGGAGTGAAAGGGTCAAATTAGTTTTTTGTGTTTTTTTTTTTTTTTAATGTAAACACAATCTATTGTGGAGGATTAATATTGCAATGTTTTTTTCAGGTGACATACAGCATGTTTGGTGCTTCAAGAAAGAAGTTTGTAGAAGGAGTCGAAAGTGACTACCATGACGAGAATATGTATTATAGCCAGTCATCAATGTTTCCGCATCGATCGGAAAAAGATGTACGTTTTGCCCTTTTTTCTCTGGATTTTCAGTACTTTATTAAAGAAACTGTATATGAAGCTATTTCTTTTGTAGTACTTCATTTTTGTTATGTATATTACATATATGATTATTTTAGAAAAAACCTGAGTGATTTGTGTATTTTTTTTCCTCTCTCTTTCTGTTTTTCCCCCTCCTACTTTTGCTTTTAGATGCTGGCGTCTCCATCACCATCCGCGTCGGGTCAGCTGTCCCAATTTGGGGCTAGTTTATACGGGCAACAAAGTAAGTCATTGTTTTTACTTGACTTCATATTCTTTTTTTTTTTTTTAGTTTTTCTCGTTCATTGACTGGATCATTTCTTCTTGGTTATTATCATGTATACCCTACAGTACACCTGCCAGTGCCATTTTCCTTGACCTATGCCAGGACAGAAACGCAGGCATCTAACGGTGCCTACAAATTGCTTCAGATGTCTTCCCATCAGCATGCTGTAAGGCTCAAAGCTCAGTTTGCATTGTATGCAAATACCAACACTTTAGAGGTGTGTGGCCTACCCCTACCTGTAAATTCCCATGGGCAGAGCAGCAGCTTAGTGGTTAGCACTTCTGCCTTGGAGCATTGGGGTCACTAGTTTGTATCCCAGTCAGGATGCGTTCTGTAAGGGGTTTTCATGTTCTCCCTGTGCATGGGTTTTCTCCAGGTACACACTCCAGAGACATGCTGGAAGGTTAATTGGCTCCTGTCTAAATTGAGTGTGCAATAGGGATGTTAGATTGTAAGTTACCTGAGAACAGGGACCGATGGGATTGTGCAGTATGTAAACCACTGCGTAAAATTGTTCGCTATATAAATCCCAGTAATAAATAATCAACTAAATTGTCCTGTAAGGTCACTGATGCAAAGCTGCAAGAGAGGGTAGGCCCAGCCTTTACACTGCTAGGACACATGAACATTAGAGGGGTCCTCGAATGTAGGGCTTCCAGGAAAACATCTGAAGGTATGTGGAGGCACCACTAAATGTCCATGTTTTATACCTGGGGCTAATCAAACACTTGTAGATTCCGTGCTTGTTGTATATTTTCTGTCTTTGGGTCAGTGTTTGCATCTCTGTGACATATGTATGAAATGGCATTTCTACCCTTTGTTAGGAAGAATGCCAGTTCTTAGTCGTGGACTACAGTGTAGTTGTCGGGTGTACCAAGACATGAGGGAAGAAAAGATCCAGGGCAGAAATGTTGATGAAAGACTGAAATATGTGGGAAATTGCCTGATTCAGGGCTGCAGTTGGGGAGAAATTATTATGCAGCCTCTACATTGACTTGAAGCATTTTGTGATACTTCTTTAGCCCTAGTGTGTTGGAATGCACCCTCCACAATGAATTTCCAGTAGAAGATTTGACCTTTTAAAACGTAAGGGCCTATGCCTTTTTCCTGTTGACTTCTTTTTTTTTTTGGGTTTTTTTCTTTCCTTCTCTCTCTTATTATAATTGCATTTATATAATACATGTTACCACTAGACATTAAAGTGCATTTCCGCTGTTGCAGTCAAATGTGAGAAAACCCATTGATATGTTTTGGTTTTTTTTTGCTCTTATTCACACAAAAAATAATTTTTAAAACATATTTATTACATTTTAGATGTTTTGTTGCAGCAGGCAACATGGCTGAATCAATGTTTTTCTGAGCACCTTGACAGTGATCTGTATGTAGGTAAGGGGACCTTAGCTTGCAAACTCCTTGAGGGCAGGGACTAATGTGAATGTGCACTGTGTAAAACGCTGCGTAAAATTGTCAGTATTATATAAATGCCTGTAATAAAATGAAAAACTCGAGTCAATCTACTGAAACTATTGCTAAGGACTTCCTGACTGCAAAATCTCAAGGCCACTACTTCATTCTCTCTCTTCTGTCTTTGGCCTTTCACACTCCAGTGCTGACTACACTGTACACATCTACACCATTTCCTATTAAGGTCATAAACTATTTAGGATTCCCTCTTACCTTTTCTGGATGGACGTTCAATGACTTTCATTCTAGATGTCAAGCTGTACGCAAGGCTCTCTTTTGAATCCCTTTTCTTTGCCATTTAACCCTTTCACTGCAGAGGCCATTTTTGTGATTTTTTTTTTTTTTTTGCACATGTTATAATCCACATTTTAGGCCTGAAAATTACTTGAAACCCCCAAACATTATATATTTTCTGAAAGCAAAGACACTGTAGAATAAAATGCAAATTTTAGCGTTGCATGATATTAGTGCAACTCTTTATCAAACCTAAAAATGCACTTAGGTTAATTCTACTGCCCCAAAACACAATATAATACCCATTTTTTTTTAGAATATAAAAGATGAGGTTATGATGAGTAAATATCCAAAATTCAGTACCCCAAATTGTCCATAGGCGACCCTTTAAAAGCCCCCTACCGGTCATCCATTTAGAGATACCCCTTAAAATTATTGCTCTCACTCTGGTGCAATAACCAACTTGTGTAGTGCGATCGTCATTTCGGTACGTAGGCGCACCCGATGCATTTTTTTACGTTCATTTTTTTTTTTTTACTTTAATTGCTATCACATAGGGAGCTTACAAGCCCCCTATGTGATAGCATATTTAGCAGTGACAGGCACTCTTTAAGGTGACACTAGGAGTCCAAAAGACCCCTGGTAATACCTTTCCACTCCAGATCAGCGTTTGGAGTGCAGATCGCAATAGCTTATTGCGGGGCTTCAGCAGCTGAGCAATGACCGCTATGGGACCAGAAGGGAGGCAATCAGGGTTGCCCCCGGTCCCATAGAGCAGGGAGGAAAAAGGCTCCTTCCTACCGACACCCAACATGTCGGGCCCCGCAGGAGGGGCAGCGGAGCCCAGGAAACAAGGTGGGCACTGTACCAGCCTCGGGAAGCGATCTGGAGGCAGGTGAGCCGCCGGAATCTCTTCCATTGTAAAGCAGACAGCCGGCTTTACAAATTTAAACAGAGCCCCGGCCGCTTATGACATACGTACAAACTCGTGGTCTTAACTAGGTGAACTGTTAATTTGGTTTTCACTATAAATTCCATGTATGTAGAAAACTCAAATCCGTTTCTTTTGCTTCCAGTCTCATTTCCCCAATGTATCATGTTTTTTTTATATTTTGCTGTTTTTATGTTGTTTCTCTTCCCTAAATGGATCAAACCAAACTTATACAATTCATTTTAAATCTTGCTATACTACCCTACCTTAAAAGAGATCTAGTTCCCATAGTTCTCTTTAGGGTCACGGGCGGACATATACTAACGCCTTCCATGATCAAAATCTAAGTATTTAGCGAGCTATTGCCCACTATATGCTGAGAACACCACAGCCGGGGCGGATCCCGACAATACTCTTGTGATCCACCCAGCTGGCTGATTGACAGTGGGCTCTGCTTATCTAGAGGCGGAGCCTGCTATGCCTGCCCCTCCTCCGTCTGTCCCTCCAGTCAGCACTGGAGTATCAGAGAGGGGAGAGGTGAATGACAGTCACCGCTCTCTGCAGGGAGATGATCGGGAACTGAGCAGATCGGCTGTATGTTTTCACTCACTTACCGATCAATAGAGCCGACGTTTAACAGTTTCAATGTCACACGACGGCTCTATTTATGGGGATGAGTGTAATTTACTCAACACCCTGAGACTCCAGCTCATTAAAGTTTCTTGTCGGGGGGTAACAATTCTGTTCTCTCATTTTAACCTTGCATCATTCACCAACCAGCTCCTGTCATCTACAGTGGCTTGCAAAAGTGTTCGCCCCCCTTTTCCCTATATTGCTGTATTACCACCTGGAATTAAAGTGGATTTTTGGGGGGGGTTTGTATCATTTGATTTACACAACATGCCTACCACTTTCAAGATGGAAAATATTTTTTATTGTGGTACAAACCAGAAATGAGACAAAAAAAAATGAAAACTTGAATGTGCATAATTATCCACACCCCCCCAAAGTCAATACTTTGTAGAGCCACCTTTTTGCACCAATTACAGCTGCAAGTTTCTTGGGGTACATCTCTATAAGCTTGGCACATCTACCCACTGGGATTTGCCCATTCTTAAAAACTACTCCAGCTCCTTCCAAGTTGAATGGGTTTCGCTGGTGTACAGCCAACTTTGTCATACCTCAGATTCTCAATGGGTCTGGGCTTTGACTATTTTATTTATTGGTTTTTATATAGCGCTGACAATTTACGCAGCACTTTACACCTCGAGGGCATCAGTCCCTGCCCTCAAGGAGCTTACAATCTAAGGTCCCTATCTCACATGCATATGAGGGCTAATTTCGACATGCGCCAGTTAACCTACCAGCATGTCTTTGGAGTGTGGGGGGAAACGCACACAGCCACAGGTAGAACATGCAAACTCCTTGAATGTTGCTTTAGCAGTATGCTTAGGGTCATTGACCTGCTGCAAGGCGAACCTCCATCCCGGTCTCAAATCTCTGGCAGACTGAAACAGGTTCCCTCAAGAACCTGGTTCCCTCAAATTGAACTGTTGTAAACCGAGGCCCTCCTGTATTTAGCACCATCTATCATTCCTGCAATTCTGACCAGTTTGTCGGTCCCTGCCGATGAAAAACATCCCCACAGCATGTTACTTCCACCACTATGCTTCACTGTGGGGATAGTGTTCTCACGGTGATGAGAGGTCTTGGGTTTGCGCCGGACATAGTGTATTCCTTGAAAGCCAAAAAGCTCAATTTTAGTCTCATCTGACCAGAGTACCTTCTTCCACATATTTGAGGTGTCCCCCAACATGCCTTTTGGTGAACAGCAAACCTGTTTGCTTTTTTTTTTTTCACCTGTAAGCAATGGCTTTTTTCTAGCCGGCCACTCTTCCTTGAAGGCCAGCTGTGTGGAGCGTGTGGCTTAAAGTGGTCCTATGGACAGATACTCCTTTCTCTACTGTGGCGCTTTGAAGCTCCCTGAGGGTTACCTTTGGTCTCTCTGTTGCCTCTCTGATTAATGCCCTCCTTGCCTGCTCTGAGTTTTGGTGGGCGGCCCTTGGCAGGTTTGTTGTAGTGTCATATTCTTTCCACTTTTAATAATGGATTTAATGGTGCTCTGTGGGATGTTCAAAGTTTTTCATATTATTTATATATATATATATATATATATTGGACTTTTTTGTCTATGTCCATTACATGTAATCCAAATAAAAATCAATTTTAATTCCAGGTGGTAATGCAACAAAATAGGAAAAATGCCAAGGGGGTGAATACTTTTGCAAGCCACTGTACATCTTAAAAGAATATGCCACAGCCTTTCCTTCCTCCTGTGCGATACAACTTAAATACTAGTGAAGGCCCTCATCTTTTTTCTACTCGACTCTTGTAAGACTCTCCTTGGCTATGTTACTTGACTTATCCTCCTTTTTCTTTTTGCTCCTGCAGTGCTATTTCTTTCGGCTACTATCTCCACTAGCTGCAACAGTTAAAACAGTTCAAACTTCTAATTCTAACATCTGGCTACTTCATATCTTTCATTTGATAATTTCAGAAGCCATCCCAAACACAACCTTCTATTTTCTACTTGCCTAGACTTCCTTTTCAGGACTTCTCATGAGTTTCACCCCTTCCCTGGAATTCCTTCCCATGTGTAGTTCAATACTATTGAAGACACTTTGCCCACCAGGCCTTTTAGAGACACAAAGTGACAAGTGTCTGTTAAAGTGTACCCTACAAACCATTCTCTTCTTTATTATAAGTACGTTACTCATGTGGTTTTTTGACTTCTCATCTGACAGGACACCAACTATGATCTTGTATACAGCTTACTTACCTTCCTTTTACATTTTGGTTAATACCCTTTATATCTTCTAGATTGTAAGCTGGTACGGGTAGGACCCTCTCATGTTATGTTATTTTGTGCTGAACAATTATTACTATTCGTTAAAGCTCCTCATGTATTGAATTAGCTGTACTATTCCCTTCCCCTGGAAACTGTCTATTCATTTGTTCCGTCCCAAGTAAGATAATTAAGATAATTAAAAATAAAGATTCTAGAGACTCGTACATGGTGGGGTATATCTGGTTAATGTCTGTGATTCTTTTGGTTACCACCGAGGATTATGCTCACGCATATATATTTGACAGCAAAACTGTTGGACATCTCAATCACTGTGTCAAGTGTTTGTTGCAACAACTAATCGATAATGAGAATCGTCGTCAGCGTGGACATAGACTGCTGCCGAAACCAAAAATGACACTTCCCACCTTTTTTTTGTTGTTGTTTTTTTGTTTTTTTTATTGTAAGCACATTGCTCTTAAATAGCTTCAGGGAATGACAGCTGCCAGTGGCAAGATTACACAGACGGCAGCTGAATGTAAACAAAGCAGATAGTGGGCTGGTGCCATAGCCAGCCTGTTATTGGCCATTTCAAATTGCAATAGCTAATAGGCTGGCTATTGCACCCACCCACTGCTTGCTATGCCCTCCTCCCAGCATGGAGGAGAGAGCTAGGGGGTCCAACCAACTAATTGATCGTGAGAATACTTGACAACTATTCTCTTAATCGATTAGTTGGTTGCTGCCCTAGTCCAACTATCGATTTATGAAAATAATCACTAGTTGCAGCCCTAAAATTGTTTCAGTATTGATCGATGGCGCCGTACGTCACCTGACCACTTTGGAAACGCTCAAAACTTTCCAACCCATCACATCTACGTTTAGGCCAGAATGTTACAAAGATTATTTAATCAAACAGTTGTAACGGTATGTGTATGGCTAGCATTGGAGATCTGTGTTAAGACCTTCATTTGGCATTTGTTTTGTTAAAACCTCAGGATCTTTTTTTTGTCTCTGGATATCTAACTGTAATACTGCAGAAAGCATGTGACAGTTGTGTTTTGTGTGCAGTTCTTTTTCATTTGAATTGTGTTCCTATGTTTTTTCAGGTGCACTAGGCCTTCCAATGAGGGGGATGAGCAACAATACTCCTCAGCTAAATCGCAGCTTATCACAAGGCACTCAGTTACCAAACCATGTAACGCCAACAACAGGGGTACCAACAATGTCACTTCATACGCCACCATCTCCGAGCAGGTACTGGACTTAAAATATTGTTTTTGTCTTATGATTAGAGCTTGTTATTATTTTTTATCCCATTTCTCCACTTGTAGATTTAAAATATCCACTGATGAAGTGGGTAATGCATTAGAGAACCATGTAATCTGTGCTGAAGTTAAGCCCAAATAAACCAGGTTTATTTTAGTTGTGATTTTAGCCCATGTAAAACAGTCCCGTGTGTATATATGAGAGCTACTGTTTTCTGATTACCATTAACTTCTAATTATAGTATTTAGCTGGTGAGTTCTTTTATATATACATAGTTAGAAATAGATACTTTCTTTATGCCTGCATGTCACAACAGGGCATGTGATAATGTAGGAACTGTTGTCTTTCAGGGGCATTTTGCCGATGAATCCCAGGAATATGATGAACCACTCCCAGGTTGGACAGGGCATTGGAATGCCAAGCAGGACAAATAATATGAGCAGTTCAGGGTTAGGCAGTCCAAACAGAAGCTCCCCCAGCATAATATGTATGCCAAAGCAACCACCATCCCGACAACCTTTTACTGTGAACAGGTGAGCATTTATAAACCTTGGAGAATAGATGCATTCTTAAAGTCTGATTTTTTTTTTTTTTCTGTAGGTGCATGTTTTACAGAGAAGCACACTATAAAAATACTCTAGTAATTGTATTGGGAAATTGAGGCTTACAGTAAGTTTACTGTTTAAGAGCCTAAGATTTTCTGAAGAATAGCCCCTTTTTAACCATTTCCCATCTAAAGATGGTAATTCTGCAGCAGGGCACTATCTCCTTCAGAACGCTGCTACCGGTAATGTCCCTGGCTTTATTATCTAGTTACAAACCGTTAATCAATCGGAACCTCTAAAATGGAAAAGAAGATGCTCTCTATCCTACTAGCGTTTCCTGTCTGGCAACACCGTTGGGTTTTTTTCTCTCTAAAGCTGGACATACACCTATAGATTATCTGCAGAGTTGCTATGGTAAGATGGAAAAAGTGCAAAAGATTCCTCCATCTACGCTACACTGCGTGTATGGAGGAATCCCCCACTGGGCCAAGCTTCAGTAACTTACTAGTCGGCCCCGCTGGCTCTCAAAAGTACCGGAACAATCTGATTGGATACAGGCATTGTTCAGGTATTTTGAGAGCCAGCGGGGCCGACTAGTAAGTTACTGAAGCTTGGCCCAGTGGGGGATTCCTCCATACACGCAGTGTAGCGTAGATGGAGGAATCCACTTTTTCCATCTGACCATAGAAAATCTGCAGATAATCTAGAAGTGTATGGCCAGCTTAACACAATGGCAAATAGCAATAGAAACCTGGCAGGGGTTTTAACCCTTCCTCACTTTGTCCCAAAAAAAAATGCCTGGACATACACCTTAACAAGAAATGCACAGTGCTGTGTTTTTCTAGGATTGCTGTTGGTGTCTTGGTTTAAGGGCAAACAGACACCGATATTAGGGCTCCATCTGCATAGCAAAGCAGAGTCAGAGCTCTGTTTGATTGAAAATGTTTAGCTGAATTGCTTTACCCATTGAAAGTCATACTTTGTGAATATGCTAAAGCATTTTCCACTTTCGGCAGTGTGGTGGATATAATCTACTTTCACTGTGAGGTGCTAATCAGCTGTTTGAACAGAGATGAGTCTACAACCACATGGGGCTGCTCAGCTTTGCTGCATACAGTTGTTCACTCACTGTTGCCTACCAGTTTTTTTGTCAGTTACACAAACCCTTTGACAATATTAAAATATTGTTAAATGGGCACAGCACTATTGATCATTTTACCATTATTGCCGTACTTTGGAAACTAAACAATTACTTGGATGATCAAGTTTTTATGTTTTTTTGTTTGCTTTGCTATTGTTTGAAGCGGAACTCTGGGTTAAGCAAACTGTGCCTGAGTAAAAGAAGCATGTGCATTCTTACTTAAATCTTTGTGTGCTTTTGTGTATGTTTTTCTAGATCTGTGCAATAATCCAGCATGAAACAACTGTCTCCTTGTGCAGGGTGACTGGTCTTGCATCTGCCCCCTCATGTAGTTCTCTGCAGGTACCCTGTAATGGGAGGACCTACTTGGTCCCACCGCAGCTCTGCTTACTGCACATTGCTAGCACGTTAATTATGGCACAGATATGTTTACAAGGTAATATACTGGTTGTAAAGACGTGGTGCAAGCACAGTGGATTTTGTATCCTTTGTGGCTTTTGAGGAATATATTAGAGTTTTTGTGCCTGAAGTTCAGCTTTAAAGATGTTTTTATGCCTTGAACACTGACCCTTCTTTCTCTGATCACACAGTATGTCTGGGTTCGGTATGAACAGAAATCAGGCGTTCGGTCTGAACAATTCTTTATCGAGTAACATTTTTAATGGGACAGGTAAGAGTCTTGTGTGTTTAGCTGAAATCTGCACTTGTTCTGTTTTAGAGTTTCCTTCTTATCCAAATTAAATACCAGTTACCCACAGTGATGATTAAAATAATATAATTTAAAACAGCAAATGTTCTCATTCGTAGGTTAAGCCAGAAATAGTTTCTGATGAGATGAAATGCATCTCCCATCTTGGGTAGCAACTGATTTAATCATAGGCATAATTTGTCTACGTTTGTAATTGAAAATCTGAGAAGCTAAATAAAATCAATCAATCTCTAGTGAATTGCACGATAATTGCATTATTGGTTATTAAAGGGTTTAACAATTTATATGTCCAGACAAGCCTGCTATTGAAGTGTTTCCAAGATTTAGAGTTCATCTTGCTGTAGAGAAAACATTAATTTTTGGATACAGCTAGAGAGAGCATGCCAGCTCAGCTTTTAAAGAGATAGTAAACATGTTGGGGGTAAGCTTTCACCTAAATCTGAACGAATGGCATAGTCCAACCTCTTACTGTGCTGTCCTCCAGCAATGACGGCTCCAGGATGCTGTCACTGTTGCATCCCCCTATATCGCAGCTTACTGGTCTTGTGGAGCTCCTCAGCCATTTGACCATACCATATTCATGCAGGAGTTATTGCCCAAGAATAGAACCAGGCTTTACACTGCACAGCACAGAAAACAAAAAGTCACGATGGGAATGGGGTGGTGTGCGCTGAAAAAAAGTACAACGTGCTGTATTTTTTTCAGCACAGCGTGATGCGGCATGGAACAACCACCTCGCACCCAATTGTCACACTTCAGCTTTG